TTTAATTCAAATGAAAACTGAAAAATAGATGAATAAAAACCATCTCAACATTTTAATAAACTATAGTATATAAACATTACTAAAATAACCTTGGTCTCATTTGTGTCTATTTTTATTTCTCCAAAAGGACTTTCCAGAACTTCTTGCACTGCAGTGCGGCCGTGGAGAGAAGACAACATCTTACTGGGCATCAAACATCTGATCTATGTGTCAGGTGTCAGGACGTCTCTCCTGTCCGCTGTGTGTCCACTCGGTTGTGAGGGACGTTGGCCATCGAATCTGACGAATTTGTGGATGCTCCTCTGACGCAAACAAACCATTGAGTTGTAGTGTCTGGTGTCAGGGAAACGCATAGCAATGCAAATGCTGCCTATAAATACATCTCTAAGTCCGTCTATTTTAAACCGTCATTTTGAAGCGAGCAGTTCAAGGCCACAAGCGATCACCTATAGAGAATTAATATAGCGCTGATGGGAGTCAGGGGAACTGCAGCTGTCCTGCTTTAACGGATCGTTGGTTTGTGGTTTTGTACACAAATAAAACTTTTTCAGTACACCTTTCAAAACAGAAATACCAAATATGTGTGTTTCATATTCAGTAAAGTACATGTGCAACTATTTTCCACTTTTTAGCTTTTGCTTGCCCATGCAAAAAATTGCCAAAATGATGCTGCAGTGTTGTAGGTGCTTGCCAACGTGTTGCTATGGTGGAGCATTGCTATCTGGTTGGTAGGGTGTTGTTGGGAGTTTCCATGGTAATGCTATGGTGTTCTGAGTGGTTAGAGCATTGTTGAGTGGTTGGGTGTTCTTGGCAGTTTCCAGGGTAATGCTATGGTTTTCTGAGTGGTTAGAGCATTGCTATTTGGTTGCTAGGGTGTTCAGGGTTGTTGTCAGGGTGTTGCTTTGATGTGTCTAAGGTGTTCTGACTGGTTGCTATGCAGGTGCTAGGGTGTTCGGGGCAGTTTCCAGGGTGTTGCCATGGTTTTCTGAGTGGTTAGGGCATTGCTATGTGGTTGCTAGGGTAATTAGGATTGTTGTTTTGATGTGTCTAAGGTGGTCTGAGTGGTTGCTATGCAGTTACTAGGGTGTTCTGAGCAGTTGCCAAGGTGTTGCTACAATGTTCCGAGTAGGCAGAACATTGCTATGCAGTTGCTAGGATTTTCATGGCAGCCATGATGCTGAAGTGCTGTAGGTGGTTGCCAGGGTGTTGCTATGGTGTTCTGAGTGGTAAGAGTGTTGTTATGTGGTTATAGGGTGTTCAGGGTAGTTGACAGGGTGTTGCTTTGATGTGTCTAAGGTGTTTTGAGTGGTTGCTGGGGTGTTCTGGGCAGTTGCCAGTGTGTTGCTATGATGTTCTGAGTTTGTAGGGCTTTGCTGTGCAGTTGCTATGGTGTTCCTTTGCTGTTTGTAAGGTGCTTTGAGTGGCTATAGAGTGTTGCTATGTGGTTGCTAGGGGGTTCCAGGCAGTTGCCAGGGTGTTACTTTGATGTGTCTAAGGTGTTCGAAGTGGTTGTGAGAGCGTTGCTATGCAGTTTCCAGGTTTGTCCAGGCAGTTGCCAGGGTGCTGTTTATGGTTGCCAAACATCATAGCAACTTTGTGCATTATATTTGAGTATGTGTGAATTTCCCAAACTGTCTGTTTTAAAAGCTGAATTAAAAAAATTTAAAGTTTGCTGAACAAGAAAATGTAAAAGTTAACTGGATTTGACTCACACTTAAGAGTTTTTCGCCTGTATGAGCAATAGTAATAATGATGTTTGACTTAGCAAACAGCAATGTTCAATCTAGCTCAATCTTAAGGCATTTAAAAAAAAAAATTAAAAAAAAACACTGCCTTTCAAATTCTCAACCACATATGCAGTGAAGTTTAGACACATCCGATTGCATTCACATGCACACAATGCGCAGTGCAGACGTGGAGTGAACAGAACTCATTGTAAAAGAAAGAAAGGAACATTTCCTTCCATTCAGTATTGAAAGTTTTAATCGCAGCATCTCACACGAGAAAGCTCTTTACGTTCAGCTGGCATCTTTCGACCAAACCCAAACCGCACGACTTCAAACAAACAACACGAGTGAATGGAGAACTAATTAAAGCCAGCCTGCTCTAAACCAGCTGCAGCCATGAAATGACTTAAACACGACTCATTCAGTCAGAACTTAAAGCGTAACAGTTTGTTTTAAAATTCAGCTTTTAAATGGATAGTTCAGAGTGTAATAAAACTATAACTGCATATTCAGCTTTAATGCAACAATTGCTATTAAGTTTTACGGTTTACAATTGAATTTCAAATGATTTTTGAAATCATTGATATAAACATTTTTAGTTTCACAGGAGTTTATTAAAAATAGTTCTGTCAACATCTAACAGATATAACATTTCCACAGACATAATTGAAGAAATGACGATTACAATCATAAACGATCTGAAGCTGAATTGTTAAGATGCATTTTCATTCCCTCATCAAAAAATAAGCACCTGAAATCAATAATTCACAATTTGCATGATCAAATACACAAAAATCACATAATACTGTCATCTTCACATAACACGTTACTTCACATAAGTCATAAATCACCGCTCAAGTAAGAGCGTGTTTGTCTGTCCTCATAGTCTGAAATACAAAATAAATTCAATAAAAGAACATAATAACGTCTGGTTTTCCAGCCCATTGTTGTTTATATATAATACTAATGATATAAGTACCGTACATTCACAAAACTGACATATAAAGTATCTGGGTGTCAGAAAGACCCTCTCGATGAAGAAATCATTGTCCTTCATTTCCTCATTTTCCTCCCTTTCCTTTATGTCTCAAAGCGTGTCTTTCCATTAATCCACCCGGACAGGAAGCAGCCATGGATTAATATGGCACTTCCCGTTTCTGGGTTTGCACAGCGGTTACTTGTCTTAATTTTGATGCGTTCGCCTTGGCCCACGTCCCAGCTAACCGTACGGCCCTGCCCGACAGGCAAAAGAGACAGAGAGAAAGAAAACAATGAAAAAGAAAGAAAGAATGTGCTTACGAACCACATTAAAGGTTGGCTAGCACTGTGGGCCATCAGAAACTACTGAAGTTTGTGGTTGAGGATGCTAAAATAAGCACACTTAAAAAAAAAATGATTTTCTTACGCAGTATTTTTTGTCTTGTTTTCCATTACAGATATCTAAACATTCTTGTATCAAAATAATTTAAGATATTAAAGGGATAGTTCACCCAAAAATGAAAATTCATGTCATCACAAACTTTCTTTATGCTGCAGAATGTAAAAAGACATTTTGAAGAATGTTGGTAGCCAGACAGTTTCTGTTCCCATTGACTTCCATTGTATGGACAAAAAGTACAGTGGAAGTCAATGGGGACTGAAACAGAAAACTCTGAATATTCAAAATTTTGAAAAAAATCTGAATTCCAAAAAGTTTTGGTTCCCATTCACTTCCATTTTATGGACAAACAAATAAAATACAATTAAAGTATTTCTTTAAAATATCTTCTCATTTGGTCCACAGAAGAATAAATGCTTTAAGGTTTGGGAGGACAGTAAATGATAGAATTCATCTTGTTTTCTGAAAAATGTAACAAAATAAAGTGAGTTTGTGCTTAAAACAAGAGAAAAATATCTGTACGTGGGGTAAAAAAATAAAATTAATTCAAAGGGAAAACAAAAGTATTTTTCTTACCCCGTTGACTGATTGCTTAAACTCACTTCCAATTTATATATATATATATATATATTTTTTTTTTTTTTTAGAAAACAAGACTATGTGGGCTATGTGGTTGCTAGGGTGTTCAGGTTAGTTGCCAGGGTGTTGCTTTGATGTGTCTACGGTGTTCTAAGTTATTGTCTATGCAGTGAGTGTTGCCTATTCTAAGAGTGTTGCTATGAAGTTGCTAGAGTGTTTCAGGTAGTTTCCAGAGTGTTTAAGTGAGTTTCTGCTTAAAACAAGAAAAAAAATGAATAAATATAAAAATCTGGTTTGTCAAAGAAAAATAATCGTAATTCAAAGGGAAAACTAAATAATTTCTTACCTCATTGACAGATCATTTTCTTGTTTTAAGCATAAACTAATGGAATACAAGACAAAAATACTAATTAAGACAATATTTTTTGCAGAGCTGCATTCCAGTTGCTAGGGAGTTGCTGTGCTGTTGCTAGGTTGTTCTGAGTAATTGTTAGGGTGTCGTTGTTGTAAGTGGTTCTAATGCCGGGTTCAGACTGCACAATATTTTTGTCGGTCACGATAGTCACTGTGTCAGATTACACGATTTTGACTCCTAAAATCTTGTCGTGGACAAGAAACATGTCAGACTACACATTGTTTCCCGACCGTTCATCGCGTGCAGTCTTTAACGACGCGCGTGATGTCATCGAGAAGGCGGAACTAGCGACTGACTTCCGAAAACAAGAGTGTAAACATTGCTGAAGCGCTTCCGCTATAGTTTGCCAGCATTGTTCTTTCTTTGTTCTGTCGTGGTAGTCCCTCGATGACACATCATACAGGCAGGAGTACTGTTGCCACAGCTCCACGAACCTTTCCTCCATCTCATAATTCCACCTAGCAGCACCATCATCTCTCTTTCGTTTTGCCATGTTTGAAACCTGTGTATGAAAGAGCTTCTGTGCTGCTATTGGTCAACGTCACCAACTCGTCGTGGACGACGGAAAAAAAATGTAACATGCTAGTCTTTCTGTCGTGATGTCGTGAAGCATCGCAGACGCGGAATCGGTTGTAAGAGCTTCTGTGCTGCTATTGGTCAACGTCACCAACTCGTCGTGGACGATGGAAAAAAAAATGTAACATGCTAGTCTTTCTGTCGTGATGTCGTGAAGCATTGCAGACGCGGAATCGGTTGTCGTCCACTATGACACAGTACACGAGCTGAAACGATGGAATCTTGCGTCCCGACGCACATTGTCGTTTACGAATCCCCACGACACCCTACTTGACGTGCTTGACGCAAATCGTGGCAAAATCGGGCTAAAATCATGTAGTCTGAACCGGGCATAAGTGCATTCTGGGTGGTTGCCATGACACTGCTTTGTTCTGTTTTGAGTGTTTTTCTGTGTTGCCAGGTTGGTTGCATGACGCGTTACACACTGTAGTGTAAGCGATCTAAACAAACCTCTAACCCCATGTTTGAGAAGTAGCAACAGTGATGCTTGAGCAAGTAAACACTAGGACATGAGAGCTGTTTTAAGCAGATGATTTTGTTGCAGTGCAGCTGTATCTGAACATCTGGACGCATGCAGCTGCGAGTCTGTCTCGGTTAACTGTCCCGAACGCTCATTCCCAGAGCTGTTCGTGGAAGACTTGAGCTCCAAATGACGTCATCGGCGCAAGATGACAGCGGGACATTTTGGCTTCACTTTTCTACAGTGGAAGGAAGCGGAGACGCGTCGTCCATCTTTTTTACAGTCTACGGTCTGAACTGATGCAAAACATCTGGACGTCGTCCCAAATGTGATGCTTTGACTTGTTCATCATGAAGGTTTCTGAGTTCGTGCTTATCGAATCAAGCAAAGATGCTTCTCTGATGGGCCATCAGTGCCGTCTGACTCTCTCGTCCTCTCTCTTTGTTTCTCGATCGTCCCCTGGTGGCAGTATAGGTCATAAACCACGCCCTCTCCATGTAAACCAATGGGTTGTGGGGAAAAAAACCTAATTACACTTCTAAAAAATTTTTCCCAAAGACAGTTCCCATCTTTTTAGGTAGTTCTTATCACTCTGATGTATGTTCAAGTGTTCATTTTTCTAAAAAGTTTATTTTGGTTAGTTATTTGATGCTATACAAATAGGGTGTGGCGGTGCAAGATGACAGCGGGAACATTTTGGCTTCAGTTGAAAGGAAGCAGAGATGAGTCGTCCATCTTTTTTTTTTTACAATCTATAGCAAAACATCTGGGCGTCGTCCCAAACGTGATGCATTGACTTGTTCATCGTGAAGATTTGGTGCTTGTGTCGAATCAGGCGAAGATGCTCCTCTGATGGGCCATCAGTGCTGTCTGACTCTCTCGTCTCCTCTCTTTCTTTCTCTCCATCCGCACCTTCCAGCAAACAGCGCTCAGCACAAGCAGCACCAGCCCGGCCGAGAGCAGCACCAGTCCGAAGTATGATATGGTGGAGCCATGCGAGTTGAAGCTGTACGCGACGGCCGTCACTACGATCCCCGCGATCAGGACCACCACGCCGAACGGCACGGTGCAGCGGTAGCAGGACAGCTCAGCTCCGCCGGTGGCCGCCGTCAGCTGCTCCTCGTTGACCAGGGGAATGGTGACGGCCAGCAGCTGCGGTTGTGGAGGCTCGTTGTTGTTGGTTTTCTCTTGCAGGATTCGCTCGGGAGCTCCGGGGATCGTCATGGTGTCTTTCACCAGCTCGGTGGGCATCGCAGGGTCGAGGGTCAGTGTGTTTCGAGGCATCAGCCGCAGTCTCTACTGTGCTGGTTCACTGTGTTTCCTCACCGTTTCCACACCTAGAGGAAAAACACATAGGCATGATAAAGGGGGGTTGGGGGGGACAATAATAAAACACTGCTTTTTAGTTTTTCAAAACCATTTAAAGTTCACCCCAAAATGAAAATTCTGTCATAATTTTTCACCCTCAAGGTGTTCCAAACCTGTTTGAGTTTCTTTCTTCTGTTTTTTTTTTTTTAAGAAACCCACCAAAATTTGGTTGCTAAGGAGTTGCTTTGCGGTTGCTAGGGTGTTCTGGTGCATTGTTGTTGTTAACTAAAAATAAGTCTATTAAAATCAGTATTAAGAAGTTACTTATCCTACTTACTAAGAACTAAACATAAAAGAAACTTGAAAAATTAGAAAGTCTGCCTTAGAAATGTCTAATTCTACTTGCTTTAATAGAAAAACTAAAATGACTAAATCTAAAACACAAATAAACTTTAATTAAAGTTATATATAGAAATATTCTTTAAAAACAATAAAAATAATAAAGCCAAAACCACATAACAAAATTACCAAAATATGTAAATAAAAAATCAAAAAAAAATCAAGGCTAATTCAAAATATAAATAAATACTATAACAACATAAATAATACTAAAATAACACTGCCTGGGTGGTTGCCAGGGTGCTGCATTCCTGTTGCTATGGCTCTTACCCAAAGAGCCATAGCAACCGGAATGCAGCGCCCTGGCAACCACCCAGGCAGTTGCTAGGGAGTTGCTAAGGTCTATGGTTGCTAGAGTGTTCTGGGTAAGTGCCATAGCAACCGGAATTTAGCGCCCTGGCAACCACCCAGGCAGTTGCTAGGGAGTTGCTAAGGTCTATGGTTGCTAGAGTGTTCTGGGTAAGTGCCATAGCAACCGGAATTTAGCGCCCTGGCAACCACCCAGGCAGTTGCTAGGGAGTTGCTAAGGTCTATGGTTGCTAGAGTGTTCTGGGTAAGTGCCATAGCAACCGGAATGCAGCGCCCTGGCAACCACCCAGGCAGTTGCTAAGGAGTTGTTTAGGTCTATGGTTGCTAGAGTGTTCTGGGTGTTTGTGTGTGTGTGTTGCTAGGCTGGTTGCTGAGGTGTACCAGGTGTTTGTTTGTTTATGAGATGTATGATGAGTCACACACTGAAGTTTAATACTAAGTGTAAGTGCTAGCGATCTAAACAAACCTCTAACCCGATGTCTGAGAAGTAGTAATAGTGATGCGTGAGCGAGTAAATGCTAGGATGTTTAGAGTTGTTTTGGTTTTCAGACAGGAAGAGCCCCACGGATCTGCTTTCTGAGTGCAGACGCAGGCTGAGCGAAGTCTGAATGACGCAGAGAGAGCTGCCACATTCCCTGGAGAGCTCGCCGTATGGCATTACAGACTGGCCCGTGAAACACGAGCGCCGTATAAATGAACAGCCATTTCTCAAGGGGCTTTTTCTTAAGAGGGTCAGCAGATCTGCCAAACGCCCGCGACTCTCTTCGCTCTGACCGATACACATTACAACTACAACGTTTGGCCTGGATTTCAACCCTCATGTGCTGTTTAGATTCACTTCAATACTTTTCCATTTAGATCTTCTTCAGTGACCCAATACACTGTAAACACGATATGATAAAGAAGCCATGGTAACATGTTTTTGCATTACTTTGACTCATCAAATCAATTTACCAATTCTAACTTAATTTTTTAAGTTATACAAGATTCAATAAAGCCAGCTTAATATAATTGAAGTTAAAATGACTTGTATAGTAAATTAAATTGTTTAAAAAAGAAACTGATGGATATCATTGCATATTAGTTTTTAGCCTATACTGAACATGCAATTTTCAGAAAAGTGCTATCCAGAGTAGAAATGTTGCTTTATAGCAAAAACACAATACAATAATACAATAAAAATATAATAAAAATTTTTTTTTTGTATTTGAAATCTTGCTTATCATGAGTTCTCATAAAAGTAGAACAAGTCATAAAATATCAGTCTTCTAGTTTAATGTTGCGGTACGTTTTTGAGTTTATAATTTTTTGTCTGTTTATAATGCTATAGAAATGATTTTGTATGTTAAAACATCTGTTTTGGTCACTTAAAATACAGTTTTTATAATTGTTTTCATTGCATCTACATTTAAAACTGATTTTGTTCTCTTTTTGAAAGTGGTCAATAGTAGTTTAAATGCATTTGTGCAGGATTTTATATGTATTTAAAATATTATATATATATATCAAAAAAAATAAAAAAATAAATAATATATATATATAAAAAACTATATATAATAAAATATCACAGGCTGATTGATTGAAATATGAAAATATATTGAAACATCTCAAAATCTGAATTTTTTTTTGTCTCTCTCTCTTTTTGACATACATAGTTTATATATAGCTTTGTTTTTTAATGCAATAGAAGTGACTTTATATGTTATATTTTGGTCACTTAAAATACAGTTTTTATCATTATATATTCATTGCATTTACATTAAAACGGTTTTCGTTGCCTTTGAGACAGGTCACTCGTTCACCAATTGTACAATGAAAAAAAAAATGGTTTGCATACAATTTTCAATCGAATTGCATTTCACAAATAATTATAAAGATACGTTAAATGACACTGAATTAAGCATGCAATTTTTAACTAGAAAGACTGAAATAGTATTTTCTTGTAAAACACTCCAATAATCTTTGCTTTATTTACAACGTTTGTATGGTGCATGTCAGAAAATGCATGCAAGGCTGCAGAAACATAAGCAGCACATTTACAGACATAATAATTCATTGTTACTCATTTAAATCCTAAATGTGAGTGTGAATTAATGATGCATGGTGAGTTTGCTGCATGCATGAAGGTAATCGGAGAGCGGGGTCAAGTCATTCACCTCACACGTGTTTTCCATCCTGCCCTCCAAAGATCCTGTTCAGCAAACTGAAGTGAAAGTCCCGTTCTACTCCAAACACAGTCCGCTGGTGAAGCTCTCCTGTGAGAGGCTGGCTGTGTGTGTGTGTGTGTGTGTGTGTGTGGGGCACTCATTCACTAGATGTGCGTCTGTGTTTCTCCTCCTCCATGTGAACTAACACTGCTTCAGTCTGAACTCAGGGGAGGAGCATAAGCGGTAGGTTTGACCATCTCATGGAGTCTTTTGCAAACCATATAATCTGCCTTTATGATATATTCTGATGGCTGGTCACAAAATAAAGTTTATTGAGAGCCACTAAAACTATATCACTCTGGTTGAGTGTATTGGTAGAATTAATTTTGGTTAAAGGAATAGTTCACTCAAAACTTTAAATATGCTGACAATTTACTCACCCTCACTTGAGTTTGTTTCTTCATCAGAACAGATTTGTAGAACTGTATCATTACATCACTTGCTCAGCGATGGGTGCTCTGCAGTGAATGGGTGCCGTCAGAATGAGAGTCCAAACAGCTGATAAAAACATCACAATAATCCACAAGTAATCCACACCACTCCAGTCCATTAGTTAACGTCTTGTGAAGTGAAAAGCTGCGTGTTTGTAAGAAACAAATCCATCATTAAGACGTGTTTTAACATCAAACTGTTGCTTCCGGCTTAAATGCGAGTCCATAATCCATAATAACGCTTCCTCCAGTGAAAAAGTGCATCTCCTGTTGTCTCTCACATCAAAATCCAGCCACATATTTGTTTAGAGCTCTTTTTTTTTCTTGTTAACAGTGCTTCATCCGTGCAGATTTCTCTCCTGATTCAGACAGAATGTCTTTAT